TGTCGGAGGCTCTGCTGCCTCCTCGGGGTCGAGCCCTCTCGCTTTTCCGCGGGGCGGGGGACGGCAGCGGCGCGGAGGGCAGCTGTGGGCCGGAGTTCTCCTGGCGCCGCGAAGGAGAGGCGTGGAGCGGCCGGTGAGGAGCCGAGGGTTTGCCAGGCGCCGCGGGGAGTGGGGGTGAATTTATAGGGCGCTCGCTCCGTGACGTGCCCTCCAGTGCCTTTTCTGATTCGCTTTCTGACCTAAACACACATTAGTTGAGTCCCATACTGGGCCAACACGGTCTCCAAATATCTGCTGGCTGAAGTCAGAGGCTTTGCATATCATGTATTACATGGCAGGCAATGAAGAAGGCTTCTGAGGCTGGCCGGCTCCTCAGTCCTAGGCTCCATTTCATGCTGTTGTAATAGAACACCAGACGCGGGGTAGGCACATACATTCAAAATCCCAATTCCAGAGGCGTAAGATCACTTTATCAGGAACAGGTCAGGGGAGGTTGGGCTAAACTTTCTTTTATCCAGATTTTTGAAAATGTAGATGGCAAACCTAAGCAGGCACTCCCTTGGGTGCTGAGTTGCCAGTGAGCAGGGACCCAGCTCCCGTCCCTGATCTCCGGGAGACCCTTTGGGCATTTCTTTCCTTGGTTGGTTACCACAAGAAGCAGCCAGAGGCTTCTTTTGTAGAGGACAGGAGGAGGGCAAGTCCTTAACCCTGCACATGACTCTACCCACAAATCCATTTCATTCACACAAGGCATGGAATTAGCTTGACCTTTAAAATAATGCACTAAATCCAGGTATGTCTTTGCTTAGCAGAAACCTGCTTTCTGAAAGCCATTGGCCCTGAATTCGGTGGGACCTCTTTGATTTTATTAGCTGGAGCCAGGGAAAGCGTAAACAGGCTCAGTTTACAACCATGTACCTCTTCTTTTATGGCTCATCCGGTTGTTGGGGAGTGTGTGATCCTTAAGTAGCTGATACAGACAATAGACAAGGGGAAATATGTGGGGGGAAGATCACATAATATTAAGCTTAGAAGTCAAAGACCAGCAACTTAGGAGATTTGTCAGTGAAGCTAGTGTGGGAGGGAAATTGTTACTGTGATTTAAGATTAAGCGGAATGAAAATTGAGTCATGCAAACATCCCTCAGCTGAAATTAGGATGCTCGCTGTAGTTCTGCAGGATGTGCCGTGTGCTTTGATAGATTTATGGTAGAAGTGTAGATGGATCTGGAAATGGGAGAGCGGAATAAGCTTCATCCATTTACCCTAATTTAGCATTGCTTCTGGAATGTGAAGGCAACACTAGTAAGCGTTCTGACCATGAACGCTTTCTTCGTTTTCAGGAAGATGCTCACCAGCGATGGTCACGCCATCCAAGCCCATGCGATGATTTAGCACTTGTTACGTGCCAGGCAAAGCGCTAGACCCTGAGAATTGTGCTGATTGGGCCTTTTGGGGGTTGCAAAGAGCAGACACCGCTGATTTCACCCTAAGTAACGGGAGTTTGCTGTGGAAGCAAGGCTGACCGGAATCTCCACCGCTCAGCCACGTGTCCCCGAAAAGCCTTCCGGAAGGGCCACCCAGCCAGGCCTCACGAAAACTGGATTGAAGTTCAGGAACTGGAAGGTCATTCAGGATACAGATCTGTAACTGGGTTATCTCGCTGCCCCCTGAGCAGCAGGCATCTGCCTCCGATCCCTACTAACAGGCTTAGCCGCCGAGGTGATTCAGCTCTTCTCTCTCTTGCTGTTTTTCTCCGGGTGTCTCTTGGCTTCTGCTCCTGCTACCAACTGCTCAGCTCTCTGTTGATCTCACATTTAAACTCCTTTAGTGGAAGGATCTAATTGGCCCTGCTGGGCACTAACCAGGTGCTAGAGTTGGACTGAGCGTTTGTGTCAGGCCTCCTTATGGGTTATGGGACACCCTGTAGCTCAGCAGACCTTGGTCAGGGCTAATCTAATCACCCACGTCCACAGTGTCGGGTCACAGGGTACAGGGCCTGGCCACCTTTGCTAAGAAACTTCCTAGGGCTCCTCCTTGCCTTTCTTCCATAGGATTTGTGCCCCCGTGGCAGGCACCTGGAGTTTAACAAACTTCTGTCTGTTACAAGGCTCAGGGACGAGTAATATGCATCTCCTGGCTCTTCATAAGCTTCCCGCCTATAAAGAGGGAAAGAGAGAGATGTACGCAGGTAATCGTGGGATGGAATGGTAAGTACTCTAATAAAGGTGTATGTGGGCTGCTCAGGTCTGATCGCCACATGGTGAGTGAAACCCTGGGGAGATTACAAAATACAGCCACGTCTGGGCCCTGCTCCTGGGTGATTAAACGAGACTCCTAGATGGTGGAGCCCAGGAGTTGGTATTTTTAAAACCTCCCCCAGGTTGTTCTATGTGCATCAAGGTTGAGGTGTCAATTAGTTTGATTTATTTTCAATGATCATAATCACTTTATGATTCTTTTTGAGAGCAAAACTAAGAGATGCACTTATTTTGATAGGTTCTAGGACTGCCCCTTCCAAAATACTAAACTCTTTGGAAATACTACTCATTACCTTAAAACAGTAACATAAAGGAAAGTGTAAAATTTAACTTAGAGATAAAGCAAATACTGCTAGTTCCGAAAGAACATTTATTTGCATTTTTACAACATTCAGATGACTGCAGAAAAGGGAAAAAGTTATAAAATTTTCAAGCTGCCCTGCTACAGAGCCCGGCATTTAAACGTAAGGTAGTCAGTACTGACAAATGTCTTCTCAGACTCACCTTTACGGACAATGAGAAGCGAAGCTTCTTCCACAGTGACTGCCAGGAAGCAAGTACCTGATGCTGTCCTGATGTCACAATCTCAGAGCCCCCAAACTCTGAAAGCAGGGCCCACCGCGTAGCTCCGCGGCTCTGCCCTCTTTTCTGGGGGAAATGAAGGCATGTTTGGTTGGGAGCTGCTCCTCAGGAAGTCCAGAGAGAAGAATTCGCAGCGCCGGTTTTGCTCTGCACAGGTAGGTGGTCCCGTGATAAAGCAACGAGAACACTCTGCTGGGAATTCTCACATTGCCCCGGGCCTCAGCCCTGCCTGAGAATCAGAGAGAAGCAAGCACTGTCCAGCCACTCATCTCCTCTTTCAAAAAGAGGGGTTCAAAACCCTCTCCCCCCTTCCCGTTATGGTCATCTTCACCGGAAATTAGTGTGGCTCTCTAACTGAGGGGTGTCTAAGTGATGGGTGCTCTCTGTGCCCGAGGATCCTCCAGTCCTGGGGAAGAGAGAACACAAGCATTAAAATGATAAAAAGTAATACAGGGCTGGGCTGGGAGCCCTGAGTCAGTATTACCGTGTGTGGAACTCAAATGAGGCCTTGTTTGGGGTAGGTCAGCGGGGGTTCGCGTGGGGGGCATCCCAGGCTAGGTGGAAGGCGTCTCTGGAGACTCAGTGCTGAGTGCTGCAGCCTGTAGGGGCCGTGGGGCCGTGGGTCAGCCTCTGGCCGCTCACAGAGCCTCCTCCCTGGCTCCCAGTGGGGCCTTGCAGCTGCTTTGCCGATAAGGGCCAGGCCCCGGGCCCCTGGACTCCCTCATAACATGGGTCATGATGGCTGAAACGGAATCCATCACTTGAGCAGGGCAATTTCCTTTTCAAAGTCACCACTTTATTGGGCAGGGATTTGTTTCATGCTCGCTCGCTTTTTAACAGTCATTTTCACCAATGATATAGTTACTCATAAAGAAAAGATAAATTCCCTACCCTTCAGAGCACTTTAAAAAAGAGGGGGAGAGGGAGTGGGGGTGGACTGCAATGGCCGCTTTGCAAAGTGGTAAGAGACAAATTCTTTGGAATCAATTGTTTTCTCCTGAGAAATTGATTCTGACATTGACATGGTAGATTTATCTGTGATTTCCAGCAGTTTCCTTTATGAGGACCAGATTGTCTAATTATCCATTCATTTTGTGTTTGGTTCTTGACATAACGTTATGAGACTCCTTTTTTCCAGAAAGAAAACTTCAATCTGGTAGGTAAGGTGCTAACACCACAAGACTTTCTTACTATGCAGATGTTCTAGTGGCTGAGATCTGGGGTTGGCAAGCTTTCTTTAAAGCGCAGGCATTTTCTGCACAGATAGTAAATGTTTTTGGCTTTGCAGGCCATGCAGTCTCTGTCGTCACCACTCAGCCCTACCCCTTGTATTGCAGAAGCAGCCACAGATATTATAGAAACGCATGGATGCACGGTGTTCCTATAACATAAAACTTTATTATGGACACTGACATTTGATTTTTCTTTAATTTTCACATGTTGTGAACTACTATTCTTTTGATTTTTCCCCCCCAAACATTAAAAAATGTGAGAACCATTCTTAGCTCATACCAAAGTAGGCAGGACTGGGCTATGGTTTGCTGACTCCACCTTAGGCGAAAGTTGCGATTTAGAGATGAGTCTGCTCTAGAAATTATGAAACCCCAGACCTGGAGGAGACCTGAGGCTTCTAGTCCAGTCTCCTTGTTCTACCAGAGAGAAAACTGAGGCAGAGAGTGGTTATGTAGCTTATCTAAGGTTACTCTTTGAGTGAGTGACACACCCCTACTGTCCAAGAAAGTGTGGGATCAGATCACTTTACTGGTGTGTGTGTGCGTGCGTGCATGCACACGCATGTGTAGGTTTGGTGCAGTGGGGAGTGCATGGGGGGGTGGTGTGTCATCTTTCAAATTGTGATTTATTTAGTATATTTTTTTGAGACAAACAATGAGTCAAAATACAGAGAAACCTATTGGAATCTTGACTGGTGGGAGAGGCTGATGAATGGGGAACAGAACTTGGAAAGGCTGATGAATGGGGAACAGAACTTGGAAAAGACGTTGATGGCTGCCTTTTAGAGCATTACAGAGCTGCCAGGCAGAGCAGAGCACTAAATAGATTTTTTCACTCCCTAAAAGGCCACTCTATTTCTGTGATTGGCTTTTAGACAGCCGACAGACAGGATCTTATCACAGAGGCACAGGGATATGTTGGGAGAGAGATTTGAGTTGAGGAATCCAGATACCTGCATCCTAATTCTTTTTAGACCACCTAGTGCCCGTTGCAGAGCTCTTGGGGCCTTCCTACAGAATTGAAATTCACAGGTGACAGTAAAGACACTGCTGCAGACCATAGTTGACTCTGAGACGGACTCAGCATTTGGACCTTCAAGCCAAAATATTCCAAGAGACCTCTCTGCTGTGTATTAATGTCATAATACAGACATCAATCTTGGCTCTCCTCTTCCCTAAAACCAATGAACGAACTAATGAATTCTCATCAACATTTGTGGGTTTAATAGAAGCAAGGAGTCAATGTAAGTGTGAATTTTCTGGTCTCTTAGTTGTTTCAAGCAACTACCCAAACATCCCTCATTGAATTCGCAGCAAGACTAAAACTAGGAGAAGGCAGCTGAGGCTTTTAATTCTGCATTGTAGGTGCCTCACTCTAGTCCCTCCCCGATTAGCAGAATCTTCAAGTTGACAGCCCCCAAAATCCTGAAGCCACTAATTAGGAGGATGTCATGGCCAAGATCAGGCAACTGGAGTCTGTGTGTGTGTGACTCTCTCTCTTCATATCCTTGTCCTTTGTGATGAAATCCTGTATATCTGATGTCTAAAAGCCAATCACAGAAATAGAATGGCCTTTTAAGGAGGAAAATTATTTAGTGCTCTGGCCCTGACAAGCCACTGGAACTTGGGAAACTTCTAGCATCCCCAGCCTCACCTATTTTTTCTCTTCTTGCGTTTTCGCTCCCTCACTGGGGCACTGTGTGAATAGATGAGATAATAAACCAGGTTTTCTGAGTTCATAAATTACTCCCTGGGAATCATTTATATTGCACATACACTTTCCGGCCACCGGGGTCCTATTTGCTAAATTACTGGCCTCCTGCTGTGCTTTAAGTGGGACCCCAGTGACCTGAAAGAGTTAATGCCTCCCTCCAAGCAATTCACTGACTCCTGGGGCATAATTTACCCTCAGACAGGACCTGGCTGACCATATGTGGAGTGCTTGGAGCTCTTTGAGAGGAAGTTGGCTCTAGAAATGCAAGGAATTAATATTACAAAAGGCGCATTTGCAGGCCATTCCTCAAGGAATCCATCGTGTAGGTTTCCCCAGAACAATTCTGTAAGGTGGGCCCTTATTACCCTTTCCAGAGACATCCTCTAGCCAATGGGAGATCAGTGCATAATATACCCAACGTGGGGTTAGGGAGTAGCATATTTGTAGGATGACTTTACCATTTGAAAAATAATGGGTGAAAGATTGGGAAGTACATTTTAGAAACTTGAGTAAAAAACAAAAGCTGAAAGTAAGGTAAATGTAATAGAGTATCTGCTTTATAAGGTTGAATGGTAGGAATATGACAATATGATAGATCAATTTTTTTTATACAGATGCAGGAGCACTTACATATTCAAATGCATCAAAATGGTCACCTGAGGAGACTGCCTGCGTGTCCTAATATGCAGCTGTTGCTTAAAATAGTTTATGCTCTGTGAATGGATTTGTTCATTCATTCAACAGATATCATGTAGACATCTCCCTTCATAAGGTCCTGTGTTGGCCATTGCCAAGGGACATAAAAAGGCAGGAGATAGTATCGCTATATTCAGTACTGGCAATTGTCTGGGTGAGTTTAATTTGGGGCAAAGACTAAACCAGCTGAAATAAATTTAATGGAAAAAGTGGGTAAAAACCAAGAGAAGGTAATTTAGAGACTGCCCTTCTGGTATGGCTTGGTAAGTTGCAATGATGGGCTCAGTTCTTACCCCTTCTCTGTATCCATGCTCTTTACCATGTGACTTTGCCATGTGACTTTGCAGACCCTCTTATTTAAAAGGTGACTTGTCTTGGCCAGTGGGAAGCAGTGGTAGTGAGGATGTGCTGCCTTTGAACCTATGACCCAAGAGGCTAACATGTTTCCATTTTCTTTCTGGAGCCTCTACCATTACCATGAGAACATGCTTGGGCTGTCCTGACCCAGGATGAGAGTCACATGGAGCAGAGTAGTGTTCCATTGGTCACAGCCAAGGTCAGCTTAGATCAGCAGAGAGCCAGCTGACACCCCCGCCCCCCTTCAGACATCTATGTGAGTCTAGCAAAGATCAGCAGAGTTGCCTTTCTGACCACCCTGGATAGATGAGCAGTGTATACTTCTTGTATGTTGCTGGGGTTTTGTGGTTGTTACACAGCACAGTTACAGCAGTGGATAACTGATACAGCTTGTAACTGATTCCAAAAGAGGAACTCCCCATGTTGAACAAGGACAACGTCCCTGGAACAAGTGGTGTCTCCAGGCGATTGCTGGGGAGCTGTAACATACATTTGGGGATATATGCCCCGGTGTTCACTGGGCATCCTTCCTCTGTTCCTACTGTACTTCATGCTCATTGTATGCGATTGCTTGTATGATGCCAAATGTTCTGCAAGGGCAGGGGTCCCTTCTTTTATTTTTGCATCTTTAGCATCTAAATTGTATGTGTTGAGGGAAAGTGAGGAATTTCATTAGAAGTCGTAACTTGCATTGTGTGCTTTTAGTAACTGATCTATTCACAATATGTATTTGGTGTGTCATATGTAATCGTAAAATCTTAATGACTCGATTATACATGCACATGTTACACCTTCAAAAGATGCAAAGGGATTTTTAGTGACAAGTGATCCCTTTTCTCGTGCTATCTTCAAGCCATCCACTTCCCGGGTAACACAATTAGTAAAATCTTACCAGTTCTTCTAGAGAATGTAAAGTCATTAAAGCGAAGCTTTTGTCTAGGAAAGAAAGAACATTTTTAACCATTATATTTTAAAAGTCTGCCCAGTTTACAGTCTCTTCTCTTTTGCATCCAAGAGGTTGGGCCTCTTGCATGTAGCCCTTGGGTTCTTTGCTAGAATGATGGGAGAGCTCTCCCCCCACTCCAAGTTTGTTCCTTTTTGATTCAGCAGCTTTCCCTCAGCTGTGGTGAGGTTTGCACACGGCTGGAATTAACGCAGCTGTTTGTGTTTACTTCTTTGCCTGTGAGCTTCTATCACGAGATGTCAGCCCAGCTCCGGGAGCTGGGTAATTACTACGGAGCCGGGCCGCAGAGGGAGCAGATAACCTCAGAACACCAAATTCTCTGGGGGACAGGGAGCCCGGAGTTCTGAAGCCCCAAAAAAGAATCTGTCATCATGGAGAACCCAAGCCTCCATCTGATGATAGTAAGGTGAGTATAATTTCAATGTAAAACTCTTAAAGGAATCTTTACAAACCAGCATGTTGCTTCTGCTTTACAATAATGCAAAGATTTGTCAACTGGCATAACCATGTCAGCTGGAATAAAGCTGGCATTGTATCTTTTAAGGCATGTCTTGGGGGTTCTATGAAGTGGTTTAAACCAAAGCCACAAACATGAGAAAAAATATATTTTCAGATGAATTTTAGTAGACTGCCAACTCCTAGCGTTTGTGTTAAAGATGCATACTTTAAAAAAACCCTACTATTTTAACAATTAAATGGTTTAAAAATATTCTTCCTCATGATTCATGGAACTTCAGGTTCAACAACATATGTACTAAGCACTGTTCATATGTATATTTTAAATGTTCACATGTATATTTTCTCATCCAGTGAAATACAGTGTTCATTAAATAGTGTGATGTTACACAGATCAAAACAGAAGACAACTAGGAAATGAAGCGATGTATTTGTTTTACATCTGCTCTTTCTGGCCTGCAGAGTCTCGGTTTGCATGAGACACTTCCCCAGAATCTCAAGTCTTCTGTCCATTTCACACCCGCTTTCGCACGATCCATTTACATGCATGTGATGGCCACGCTCAGAGATGAAAAACTACAGCATGGCATGCCTGGGATGTCAGCTTTCTCTTTATGATCGAGGGACTGTTTCATCAAAACACGGTTTCAAACAGATGTGTCCTGGTGTTTACTGAGGGGAGAACTTAAGCCAGATGATTAATTAGCAGTCAAGATGTTTCCCTGTTCCTCTCTGGGTAGCCTGGGGTTTATGAAGCTGTCAGTGGGTTCAGTTCAGATGAGGGGAAAAATGACAGCAAACCCAACTTCAGGTCACTATGCTAGCGTGTGAAATATGGTGTCCTAATCGCTCTACCTGGTTTTGATAGGAACATGAGTTCCTCTGAGTGTGCATGACAGGACCCACAGGGGTCAGCATGCTTTTTCAGTAAAGGGCCAGGTAGTAAATATTTTCAGTTTTGTGGGCCACACAGTCTATCACAGTGGCTCGACTCTGTAATTGTAGCACTAAAGCAATTGTGGACAATATGTAAATGAGTATACATGACTCGATTCCAGCAAAACTTTACTTATGGACATTGCAATTTGAATTTCATGTACTTTTCATGTGTCACGAAATAATACCGTTCTTTTGATTTTTGTCCAGCCATTTAAAAATGAAAAAAATGTTCTTAGTCTGCCAGCTGTGTATTTGGCTCATGGACCATAATTTGCCAACCCTTGACAAAGAATCTTGAATCAGTTGTAGTCCTGGCTCTTTTTATTTAAATACAAGGCTAATTCTTTTTAAATCTTAGTTTCTGTATTTGCAAAATAGGGGATAATAGTAGTTGCATCATCTCTTCCCAGGATCATTGGCAGGATTAAATGAAGTAATGGATAGGGAAGTGTTTGAAGAGTGAAGGGCTATGCTCAGGTAAGATATGACTATGTTATGATTTGTATCAAGAATGTCATTGGTTGAAAGAAGCTTAGAACTGGATAAACATTGGCTTAAGCCCATAGAGACCTTTATTGTTCACTTATCTGGATGTCCAAGATCCCAGGATTGGTGCAGTGGCTCCATGATGTCATTGAAGACCTGACGTTTGCTCGCTATACCTCCTTTCACAGTGCAGGATGGTTGTCATAACTTCATGTTCTCACATGACAGTGTCCCAGACAAGAAGGAAGAAGGGAATGGAGAGAAAAGGGATCCTCCAGCAGCCTTCTCTTCACATCTCATTGATCAGAACCAGTTCACTTGCCATCCTGGCCCAACCACTGGCAAAGGGGAAGAGGGCTCATATGCTTGGTTTGTAGACCAAGCATGAGTCAGCTTCTGGAATGGGGTATGGCATGGCCTGGTCAGGGTTCTGCTAGCAACTAGTGGTGGCTGGCAGGTTGGGGGAGTGAGTAGCTGATGAACTGATTCCTTGAGGATGCTCAGAGATGACTCCTTCAGGTGCCATCCATGCTGTTCCCATAGGTACATACAGAGAAAAACCACTGTAGTGAGCAGGCCAGGTCAGGCGATGAGCTGAGACAGAATTTCCATATCAACCTGCACTAACCTGAGAAGGAAGCAGAAAGGAAGGAACCTGAAGGTTATTTCCTTAGGGCTTCTGGAATATACTAGAGAGAACCAATTTAATCACCATCTATTATAATTTATTATGATAAAATGCTCCACAGTCATTTTTCTGAGGAGTCCCTTTGTTGTAAAATCCAGTTCTGGAGGTACCTTTGCAAGTGTGTCCCATTTTTGAAAAACTCATATTAAAAATAGAAACTCACAAAACACAAATTAGGAGTCAGCAACATAAAGTTTGAAATAGTGTTCATTTTACAGAAGAATTTACCTTAAAATCTCTTCAAATAGTGAAATACTTTGGTGCACTTTAAATCATTTCAATGATGAAAATATGATTTCCACGTAATTTATATATGGGCTTATACACACACACACAGCTGCATTACACTCAGCTAGGTAGAGCTATAAATTTATTAAAAAGCATGAGGAAAACAGTCCGTTAGGATAAAATTGCCACTGATGTGAACTAAATTAAACATCTCAGGGTTCCAGGGTGCTAGAATGAATGACATTTCCCAAGGAGTGAAATGCCTACTTCAGGAAGAAAACCTCACACAAATTATACACTCTGTACATGCAGGTCAAGCCTCATTACGAGGCAGAGATTCCTACACTGTGTGGGAGGTTGACCAAGGGCCCCTCAAAACTGTAAGAATATTTCATCTTATGAGCACCTTTTGACCTTGAGGGTCCCTTCTTTTCTTAAATGCTGCAGTTCTATGATTAGAGCAGAACTGTCTTTATACCCAAGTTCTAAGCTCATAGCCTGTTTGTACATTCATCTATCTATTTATTTATTTGTTTGTTTTTATAGCTCACACGCAGTTTTTGCTCTCATGGAGTTTACAGCCTAGAATGAGGAGATGGGTGTAAGCATCTATCTGCATCCACTGATGCATAACTACACTCAGATTAGTGCTCTAAAGAAAAGAACACTGCACTGTGGAAGGAAGTGAAGAGACCTGGCTTTGCCTGGGGAGCAGGGAAGGCTTCTAGGAGGAAGCGGTCCTTGACCTGAGGACCAATGTGCGAATAGAGTTAATAGGTGAAAGGCAGAGTGGAATGCAAAGAGCATTTCTAACAGGTGCAGTGAGTGTGTTCACTTGTCCGTCCGTCCGTCCATCCATCCATCCATCCATCCATCCATCCATCCATCCATCCATCCATCTTATTTTACAGAACAGTCTAGTACCAAGTGATCACATAGTTGCAAACAAGTAGAAATAGTCTCTGCTTTCTAAGTCTGCAAGTCCACTTGGAGAGACTAGAGAAGTACATGTTTAAAAGAATCCTCAGAGCACAGCCAGTGTGGTTCAGCGGTTGAGCATCGACTGACCTATGATCCAGGAGATCGAGGTTCAATTCCCAGTCAGGGCACATGCCCGGGTTGTGGGCTCGATCCCTGGTGGGGGACGTGCAGGAGGCAGCCAATCAATGACTTTCATCACTGATGTTCCTATCTCTCTCTCTCCCTCTCCCTCTCCCTCCCTCTCTCTGAGATCAATAAAGATATATATTTTTAAAAGCCTCAGAAAATCGTAGGAGGTTGTTTTAAGTAATAATACATGTGAGGCAATTTCAGCCCTTACTTTGCTCTTACTGGAGTGGAATTTGCCCGAGTGGGCACCCAGAGGTGCTCCCCCAGTGCCAACCTCGCTCTTTTTTCCCCTGGAGAAGGTGCAGAGTGCAGAGGACGAGACCAGTTGCCAGCAGCCTCACTGCTTCCATGGGAACTGCAATTTGCAGTTAAAAATTGAAGCAAAACCCTGCATTAACAGGGGAATTCATCTAATTTTAGAGTGAATTACTTTTTCTTAGTGCTTTTAGGATCAACCAAAAAGCAAAATTCAATATTAAAAAGTGAGAATTAAATCGGCAGCTATCCTACACAAAGAGACTTCGCCATCTCATTGTGACCGCCGAGACGATGGTTGCCTGTACTGAAATCAGGCATTTTGTGGGCTCGCTGTCAGTGATTAGCAAGTTTCCATTTATGGCTGTTGTCAGGTTAATGGTAAATGTTCCGCTGAGTTCACGGAATCTTGGCATTAAATTTATACCTGGAATGAGTTTAGAGATCCAATATAATTCTCATTTCACACAAGAAGAAATTGAAAGCCAGCTGGGTTAAGTGACTTTTTCAAGCAACTGAAAACTTTGTGCCCCAGCTCACCCCGCGGGCTTTGTGATGGCCGTGCCAGTAGTGTTCAAGCTGGGCCTAGGATCTTCTCGCTCCGGGTCAGTGCAAGGGGCTTTGGAGCCTGACTGTACTCAAATCCTTGCTGTTTACCAGCCTCGTGAACTTGGAAAAACCGTTTGACCTCCCTAGGCTTGTTTCCTCCTCCTGACATTCATGGGTGACTCACCCATATCCTTCAGACAGTCATAAGGCCTTTGCCTGACCCTAATGGTGGGGAATCAATAGAAATAGATTTGAATCTCTTATGTACATAATTGAAATAAAATGCTTATGTACAAATACCATTTAACTTTTTAAAGCCCTATTTAATGGCAAATAAACAAAAAATAAGTACCTTTGTTTACTCAGAGAGTTTTGAGAGCAAATAGATTGCTAGTTGCAGGGGTGAGGGGAAGGCGGTGGGAAGGGAAGAGATGCTGATGGCCACCGGAGACAGAAGGAAGTTGGACTGGATGGTTCTGCAGAAGCGTCCGTCTAGCCTGTAGCTTTAAGCTTCCCAAGGGAGCACAGAAAGGCCAAGCATATCATTACCCAAGAACCTGCCATTAGAGTTTTCTGCCATGTGCACAGATAGGGTTTGTGTGTGTATGTGTGAGATTGTGAAGAAACCCCATGCCCAGTGGAAACTAACGCCCCTTTTAAACAAGCCAGGCAGGCCTTGATACAAGGCAGTGTGGTCTTGCTGCTCTGTTTACAGAGGAGGCCTTTCATGCCGGCGTGATGTATGGATGATTTAAACCATTGGGATCCTTTATGCTAACAGACCGTTCATCTTGGATTTTCCAGGTTTCCAGGCTGTCTTCAAGGAGTACACCATTGACTCTGAAGCTGGCTGGTGTGTGGACAGATGCGTTACAGGTCTCTAAATTATCGAGCTGCAGGAGCTTGTCATGCCAATACTTTAATGGAGTCTAGTTCTGTTTCGCCTCCCTTCTGTCCCGAGACATCACCCGGGCAATTTCAGATCCCGCTTGCTTCCAGGTGTCAGAGCCTCTGCTGCTCTTTTCTGCTTTTCTTTAGCATCAACATATCCAAGGACTGTTTCCTACTTATCTTTCCTTTTATTTCCATGATACATCCAAGCCTCGGATTTGCTCTGAAGGGAAAGAGAGTCTTCTATGTAGGAGTAGTGGATGGCTTCCCAAATTGTGCTCAAGGACTCTTTCTTCAGTTGTGTGTCTCTTCAGGAGCTAAAACCACTTTGGTTGCTGGAGTGTGTGTGTGTATGGGTGTGTGTGGCCCCTACCACCACAGAAAAGAAAGAATATGTGCTATATTTTTCTCTTTTTTTTAAAAAATTCCTCACTTGATGATATGTTTTTATGGATTTTTTGAGAGAGAGGAGAGGTGGGGGGAGAGAGAGAGAGAGACATGGTTTGGTTGCCTCCCCAACAAGCCAGACCGGGGATTGAACCCACAACCTTTTGGTATTTGGGGCAATGTCCCAACCAACCAAGCTACCTGGCCAGGGCTATTTCTCTTAAATTAAAGTAAGTTGAAGTCTTGTTTAGAGAACGTTTGAGGATTTCCCCAAAGATGTGCCCAGGCTGGCATCAACCTCCCAGGGTGGAAATTACTTCCCTGGAGGAACTCAGGAATGAACCCTTTCCTCCTAGGATGCTTCAGCCCAGTGTCCCTAGCAGTTCATCTGAATCCCAATAACCAGGAGGTAGTTACTATGCAGATTCCTGGGTTACAGCCAGACCCACCAAGTCAGAGCCTTTGGGGCCTGGGACCCAGGAATCTGCATTTTAATGGACGCTCCAGCCTCAGAACCCCTGGCTCCTGACACATCCTCTGCCGACTGGAGAGTGGCTCCCATCTTCCTCACCTGCAGCAAAGCCAGGGACTCGGAGATGAGGTGCCCTGGGGGTGGTGGGGGGGGGAGACTTCCCTGCCTCTTCCTCCAAAGCTCTCCTGTGTGGCTCGGCCCAGTGTCTACCGATGAGACGGTCACGCAGGAAGGTCAGTGAACAAGACTAGGAAAGACACAAGGACTGAGACACACACATCTGAGCCCCATCTGGTCAGGGGTCAGGGAACGAAGCACCCTTTAGCTTTTTCATCCATCTGTCCTTCAGTATCTATTAAGTTCCTGCTGTGTGCCAGGCACCAGGCTAGCTGCATTCCACCGAACCTGACCTTCCTCATCTTTTCGTCAGATCTGAAAGATGAAGCTGAGGTTTAAGTCCCAAATAGGCAGCAGCAGCAAAATAATTAGGAAATGAAGACAATTCTCCCTTTCGTGTGTGCGCGCGCCTTTGTGTTACACACACATATGTAGGGTAGGGACTTTAGCCTGTGTTTCCATATGTATGTAATATGTTCCTTTCTTGATTTATTTGCTTATGCATTCAGCAAACATTCGTCCTTTCACTCACCCAGCTAGCGTCTCCCGTGGGCTTGCTGTGTGCCTGTCTAGGGCCTGGGGGTAAGGTGATGACTGAGGCAAAGCTCTCGGCCTCATGGAGCTTTTCTTTCGCAGTAGGCAATGCTCTCCTATGCCTATTAAACACAAAAATATGATTTTACAATTTACCTTTCTAGTAGAGGTTGGCAATTCAACAGAATGCAAGTGAGAGCCCA